GCACTGTGTAAGACTCTTGTTTCAAAAAAGAACCAAGCCGGGCGGTGGAGGCACACGCCTTTAATCTCAGCACTCGGGAGGCAGAGCCAGGCGGATCTCTGTGAGTTCGAGGCCAGTCTGGGCTAAAGAGCAAGATCCAGAACAGGCACCAACACTACACAGAGAAACCCTGTCTCAAAACAAACAAACAAACAAACAACTCCTGGAGGCCATGGTACGAAGCATATACCCACAACCCCAGCATTCAGAAGACTGAGGTATGAGGATTCCAACCAAGTTCAAAGATGCCTTGGCTACACACATTAGAAAAAAAAAAAAAAGAAACAACAACAACCCCCCCCCCCCTCAAGCTGAGGACCGAACCCAGGGCCTTGTGTTTGCTAGGCAAGAGCTCTACCTCTGAGCTAAATCCCCAACCCCCCCCCCTTTTTTTTCTTTTTTAAATTTTTTTTTAACAACAAACCTTTTAGGCCTGGAGAGATGACTCCAGGAGTTAGTTAAGAGCACTAGCTGCTAGCAGTTCAAGAGGACCCTGGTTTGACTTCAGCCCACACGGTGGCTCACAACTATCTATAACTCTAGTCCCAGGGGATCCCAGGGGATCCATCAACTTCCCCAGGCTCCACAAACATTCAGGCAAACACTAGTACACATAAAGTAAAATTAAAAAATAAATAGATCTTCTTGCTGAATTAGTATATCACTTGCTTTATGCATTCTCTAGATTTTTTTTTAAGATTTTTTTTTTAAGATTTATTTATTTATTATGTATACAGTGTTCTGCCTGCATGCCAGAAGAGGGCACCAGATCTCACTTCGGATAGTTGTGAGCCACCATGTGGTTGCTGGGAATTGAACTCAGGACCTCTGGAAGAACAGCCAGTGCTCTTAACCTCTGAGCCATTTCTCCAGCCCCCTAGATTTTTTTTTTTTTTTAAGTCTTGAATATTTTACCTTTTTTTTTTTTCTTTTTGGTTTTTCGAGACAGGGTTTCTCTGTGTAGCTTTGCGCCTTTCCTGGAACTCACTCTTTAGCCCAGCCTGGCCTCAAACTCACAGAGATCCTCCTGGCTGTATCCCCCAAGTGCTGGGATTGAAGGCATCATTCACCACTACCACCCATCCTTTATCTGCTATTTTAAAAAAACAAAACAATTTGCCAGGTGGTGGTGGCACACGCCTTTAATCCCAGCACTCGGGAGGTAGAGTCAGGCGAATCTCTGTGAGTTCGAGGCCAGCCTGGTCTACGAAGTGAGATCCAGAACAGGCTCCAAAGCTACACAGAGAAACCCTGCCTCGAAAAAACCAAAACCAAAATAAAATAAAATAAAAATGAAAGATACTTTGACATGAAAGGTAAAAGTTTTCTCATTATTTCTTGCTACTTCCACTGCTACTGTGGAATGGAGACTAGATGATGGATTATCAAAGAGGGAGCGTATTTACTCTTGTGTAGAGTGACAGTTAATTCTGGGGTCTATGCATTATGTCTACCAAACAACCAAAGTATTTTTTGAATGTATGACTGCTAAGAAATATCCTAGGCCTGGCTCATTCAGTCAAACAGCCAATAACTGAATCCTTTTATTAAACATTAGAAAAATATCTCTGTGGCTCAGTGGTTAAGAGCACTGGCTGCAGTGACTGACTGCCTTCTTCCCACAAACAAAACCATGGGCTAGTGCTGGGGGTGGAGCTCATGGGTAGTCACGTGCAACTTCCTGGGCTCCATATCAGCTTGAGAGATGTGGGTGAAGGGAACACAGGACAGGAAAGACCTCAGGTAGTGTGGGAAGGTTTTGTTTTTGTTTGTTGAGACAGGGTCTCACTATGTAGTTCTGACTAGCCTGGTATAGACCAAGCTGGCCTTGAACTCATGGAGAGCTGCTTGCCTCTGCCTCTTGAGTGCTAGGATAAAGGCATATTTCATTACTTCTGGAAGTGTGGATAATTTTAAATGACTGTCACTTACGGTCCATCCTTGACCATGCCCAGTGTGTTGCTGGACATAGGAACATCACAAAAGCAGGACTCTAGTGAGAATGCTACTGACCTTGTCCAGTTGTTCCGACAGAATGGCAGTGTGCGACTTCACAGCATGCGGTTTGCTAGGGTGGATGTACATTTGGTCACGAATTAAAAGACCTTGGTTAATCCTAGCCCTTGGAGGCAGAGGCAAGCAGCTCTCTGTGAGTTTAAAGCCAGTCTGGTCTACACAATAAGTTCTGGTTATTGAAGGGGAGGCTGGAGAAAGAGTTCAGCAGTTAATAACACCCACTGCTCTTGCAGGGGACCCGAGGTTCAGTTTCCAGTACACACCCATAGGAATGAATGAGCTGCCAGGAACTCTAGTTTGGGTGGGTGGGTGAGGATCCAATGTCCTCTTCTGGCCTCTGAGAGCACCTGTGTGCATATGGTGCACATAAACACACACACACACACACACACACACACACACACACACACACACACACAAATTAAAAAAATGACAATGATCATTGAAATACCATACAAGCAGGGCAGTGGTGGCATATGCCTTTTATCTCAGCACTGGGGAGGCAGAGGCATGTGGATCTTTTCGAGTTCAAGGCCAGCCTGGTCTACAGAGTGAGTTCCAGGACACCAAGGCTAAACAGAGAAACCCTCTCTCGGGAGAGGGGAGAAGGAGGGGGAAGTTGAGAAGAAAAAGAAAAGAAATACCAGAAAATCATGTCAGAAAAGCCCACTGCATTGAACGTGAAGGCGGTGTTTTCCAAGCACAGGCCTTGGAGTATAGCAGATAGCTGTTCCAAATTTTCAGTCATTAGAATATAATGTCAGACACAGCAGACATGGCCTCTGTCTGCATGACGAGTTAGCCTGGACAAGAGGCACTGAATGAGTGCTCTTCTCCTGACGTGTTGGAGATGGAAACCAGGGCTCGCCAGTTCAGCACTCTGCCACTGATCCCCAACATTAACCATCTGGACCGGGAAGCCCAGGGTGCAATACAATTGAGAGCATCACTGGGGATTCCAAAGTGGCTTCAATGTTCGGGAAAATCTCCCCAAAGAAATGATGTCGAACAGAGACCTGAGAGATTTGCCAAGCAGGCTGGAGAGACACTCAGCCGTAATGAGCACTGGCTGCACTGGCTACTCTTTTTTTTTTTATTTTTTGGGAGGGGGGTGTTTTTTTTTTTTTTTTTTTGTTTCTTTTTCGAGACAGGGTTTCTCTGTGTAGCTTTGTGCCTTTCCTGGAACTCACTTGGTAGCCCAGGCTGGCCTCGAACTCACAGAGATCCGCCTAGCTCTGCCTCCAGTGCTGGGATTAAAGGCGTGCACCACCACCGCCCGGCTTAGCACTGGCTACTCTTGCAGAGGACCCAGGTTCTATTCTCAGCACCACATGTAGGTTCACAACCATCTGTAACTCCAGTTCCCAAGCATCCAATGTCTTCTTCTGGTTCTTCTTCATTGGGCACCAGGTATGCATGTGGTTCACAGACATATATACAGGCAAAACATTCACGTATTAAAAAACAAAAACAAAAAACCACTAGCTGCTATTGCAGAACACCCAGATTTGAATCCCAGTACCCAATTGCAGCTCCCAAGCACTCAAAACTCCAGTTCAGGGAATCTGATGCCCTCTCCTGGCCTCTAAGGGCACTGCCTGTACATGGTGTAGAGTCCACATGCAGACAAAACCCCCATACACATGAAATAATAATTTTTTAATTGAAAAGTAAAAAAAAAAAAAAAAAAAAAAAGAGAGCACTGGCTGCTCTTCCAAAGGTCCTGAGTTCAATTCCCAGCAACCACATGGTGGCTCACAACCATCTGTAATAAGATCTGGTGCCCTCTTCTGGTGTGCAAGCATACATGCAGGCAGAACACTGTATACATAATAAATAAATAAACCTTAAAAAAAAATCTCTGGCTGGGTGTGGTGGAGTAGCCCTTTAATCCCAACACTGGGGGTGGGGAGGGGCAGAAGCAGGAGGATCTCTGTGAGCTCAAGGCCAGCTTGGTCTACAAAGGGAGCAATGAGACATCCAGAAAGACCTGCCTCAAAAGAAAAAAAAACAAACCCCAAGCCAAAACAAGATATACTTCCCTTCCTTCCCTTTCCTACCTTTCTTTCTTCATCTCTTTCTTTCTTTCCCTCTTCCCTTCCTTCATTTACCTTTCTATTTCTGGGACAGAACTCACTACGTAGCTCAAAACCCGGTCATCGGCTCAAGTTCCTGAATGCTGGGGTTACAAGCATGCACCATCTACCTGGATATATTTTAAATTATAAATTAAATCATAATTTAAGAAGAGATTTATTTATTTATTATGAATACAGTGTTCTGTCTGCATGCACGCCTTCGTGCCAGAAGAGGGCATCAGATCTCATTACAGATGGCTGTGAGCCACCTTGTGGTTGCTGGGAACTCAGGTCCTCTGGAAGACAGCTGGTACTCTTTAACCTCTGAGCCATCTCTCCAGCCCCCTAAGATCATAATCTTAAACAAGAAAAATATGGAAAAGTATTAAGTTGGAAAATCTAACAAAATTTCTTATTTTCATTGGGAAATGACGAGAAATCAAAGTCAGACAAGAACACAGTGAAAGTCCCAAACTGTGTATGTGGGAAAATGAAACACTGTGTAAAACATCTGGCACAGTTAACAGTCAGTGAATAGTTGGTAGACAGTTAATACTCAATCTCTTCACCCGAACTCTAATGTCACTTACTATATGAAATGTTATTCAGTGATCTTCTCTTGTTCAAATTGATAAGATCCTACATATGACAAATAGTTTAAAGCAAGATTTTTTTTAACCTAAAAAAATAAAAGTTCTGTCAGCAGAACAGAGAGGTGGCTCATGCTTGTAATCTCAGAATCTAGAGACTCAGACAAGAGGACTGCTACAAATTTGAGGTCATCCTGTGCTATGTATGAGTTCCAGACTAGCCTGGGCTCCAAATGTGAGGCTGTCTTAATAAGCAAGAAAGAGACAAACAAAAAACCAAAAAGACTTTATCAGAGTTCTACAGTGCTTTTTATTGGGCCTAAAGTTCATTTAAGGGGTACACAGACACACAGCTCGTCTGATCAGCCACTAAGAGGCTTCGGTGCCCTTTTATCTGGGTACTCAAGAGCCAGTTCACTTTTTCCCCATGTTCAATGTCCAGCTTTGGCACAGTCCTCGCATGTCCCTCCTCATCCGCTGCTGTGGCACTGGAGTTCTCACCACCCTGCTTGGGGCACGCTGCTCTTTTTGCTTTCTTCCTGTGGGTGTGCTTTGCAGGACTCTTCTGTTTCTTCTCTATTTCACTGCTCACATCCCACAACCTTATCTTCCCATCATTCCCTCCAGTAAGCAGCAGATAGGACTCAGGCACAAAGCAGACCTGGGATACCCCCAAAGTGTGACCCTTAAATCCCAATTCTCGATCACATTTGACTCCCATCACCCTGAAGATGCGCACCTTACCATCCTCTGCACCACAGCTGAAAACATTGCCACATGATGCCACAGAGACAGAGTGGGCTAGTGCAGGGTTTAGGAGCCGACCGGGGGACTGGGGGCCTTCCATTTCCTCTGTTTCATCTTCTTGTAAATTCGTAATCCAGACGGGACGGGCTTTTTGAAGACTCCACAGCATCACCTTTAAACAAGGTGAAGTTACATAGTCACACAGTGTTCTAGCCACATTTCTCAACTACAGTGCTTACTGAGCTTCTAATAAAATATGACACGGTTCCTCTACCATTTTAAATGGTCAGAAGCTACTACAACCTGCCAGGGTAATGCTACTTGACACTAGACTAGAATGCAGAGGTAGAGGTACGATTTACAAAGCCAGACCTCAAAAACTTTACTGACAAGACTCCAGGAAAGTACAATTGTTGGGCTGAGGATACAGCTTAGCGGCAGAAGACTTATTTGCCATCTGCAAAACCCTGGATACAACCCCAGCACTGCTCCCCAAATTTAAAAAAAAAGAAGAGAATTAAAACAAAAATGAACAAGCCAGCCAGCACGGGGGCACATGCCTTTAACCCCAGCACGCAGGAGGCAGAGGCAGGTGGGTTTCTATGAGTTCAAGGCCAGCTTAGTCTACATAGCCAGTTCTAGACCAGCCAATGCTGTCCAGTGAGACCTTGGCTCAAAAAACAAATTAACAACAAAACCCCTTTTTTGTACATTTCATATTGGATTTCCAAACAAATTCTTGGTTTGTTTCAAACCAGGTGTCACTATGTAGGACAAGCGGGCTTTGAACTAATGGTGACCCTTCCGCCTGCTTGCCCAGTGCTAGGGTCATAAACATGCATCACCAGGTCTCGCTCAGACTCTTTTTTAATTTAGTGAAGAATCTTTTTTTGGGATAAGTATTATTGTAAAGCCAGCAAACCTAGCATTTGGAAGGTAGAGGTGGGGACTCAAGGTCACCCTCTGCTATATAGTGAAACTTTACCAGGTAAATTAAAATAGCAGTTATCCGGCCCTGTCTTTTATAGAATATTTGAGGATGTAAGTTCTCTAGCAGCAACATGACCCTAAAATGTCTCACCTAGACTTGCAGGCAAAATGCCAAATTATTTATGTCCATTTAAAAAAAAATTTTTTTTTTTTGAGACAAGATCTCACTACATAGATCAGGCTGAGCTTGAACTCATAGAGATCTGTCTGCCTCTGCCTCCAAATGCTGAGATGGCATGTGTAACCATGTCCAGCCCAGAAACATTTATTTCACTTTTATTTGTGTGTATGCATGTGTGAATGTGTGTGAATGTGCATGTGTATGTATGTGTGAATACCAATGCCTTGGGAGCCCAGAAAAGGGCATCGGATCCCCTGTAGCTGGAGTTACAGGCAGTTGTGAGCCATTTGATATGGGTGCTGGGAAGCTAACTCAGGTCTTCTTCAACAGCAGAGTGAACTCTTATCATTGAGCCTCTCTTCAGCCCGTCCATTTCCAATCTAACCTAAAGAGTACAGGTCACTTCTGCATATCTAACTTATAGCCACACCTATTGGCTAATGAGCCAGTGATGAAAATTGGTATAGCCAAAGGATGAAAGAATGACTACTGTATCTGATCATTTATAACCAACAGCCATCTGGCTATACAGATACTCTTGAAAATCAGAGGAAGATCCAACCTGAGGGTAAAGAATGCAGATTTAGGAAGGATATGCCCAAAAAACCTAGTTGGAGGCTATAGGGAAATTGCCCTATAAATACAGAAGGATCCTGGTGTGGTGCACGCCTTTAATCCCAGCACTTGGAGGCAGAGGCAAGTGGATCTCTGAGTTCAGAGGCCAGCCTGGTCTACAAAGCCAGTTCCAGGACAGCCAGGACAACATAGAGAAACCTTGTCTTGAAAAGCAAAACCTCCTAGAATAATTCTGTATTGAATAATTCTGTATAGAATTTCTACAGAGGTACTACAGATATTTTTGAGGGGGAGTTCTTTATTGTTTGGGGAGTGTCCCAGCACACAGGGCATGGACTGATTCCACTGCCATGCCCTCCAACCTTATGGATGATACTGATTTTCTCCCCTTTCGTCTTTTGAGACAGGGTTTCTCTGTGTAGGCTAGGCTGTCCTGGAACTTGCTCTGTAGATCAGACTGGCCTTGAACTCAGAGACTAGCCTGCCTCTGCCTCCCAAGGGTGCTGGGATTAAAGATGTGTGCCACCACTGCCCAGCAATTCTGATTTTTTGTTGTTGTTGTTGTATCTAGTTGTTCTTGAGACAGGATCTCTCTATTACATAGCTCTGTCTGGCCCCGATTCACAGAGATCTGCCGGCTTCTGTTTCACAGGAGCTGAGATTAAAGGGAGAACCACCATGTCAAACATAAATGATACTTTAAATACCTCTTATAATAGAGAAAAAGCACGGACTTTGGAGGCAGAGACTGAAGTCTGTTTCTAGCTAGATGGTTCATTTACAATAATAATTTTAAGAAAGGAACAACAGGGCTGGAGAGATGGCTTAGAGGTTAAGAGCACTGACTGCTCTTCCAGAGGTCCTGAGTTCAATTCCCAGCAACCACATGGTGGCTCACAACCATCTATAATGAGATCTGGCGCCCTCTTCTGACCTGCGGTCATACATGCTGTATACATAATAAATAAATAAATCTTTAAAAAAAAAAAAAAAAAAAAAAGAAAGGAACAACAGGGAGCTAGAGATAGGGCTTAGCAGTTAAGTCAACTGTTTGCTCTTCAAGAGGACTCTGGTTTAAATCTCAGCATCCATGTGGTAGCTCACAACTGTCTGTAACTGTAGCTCCAGGGTATCCAATGCCCAGCTCTGGCCTGCACAGATACCAGGCACACGAGAAGTACACAGACATCATGCAGCAAACCATCCACACACAGAAAATGAAATTACATTTAGAAGGGACAGTAATTAGGAGGCATGAGTACAATGAAGACTAATAGGTGCAAAGCACTTCAAGTCCCAAGCACTCAGCCCTGGTGATGGGATTTTTCTCGTGCAGGAGGAAGGACAGTTGCTATGGAAAGTTCAAGCTATCTAAAAACTCTCACATTAATCCACTCCCCTGAGAACAAAAAATTAAACCCCACCAGCTTTCCCTATACCTCCATCTCTTACTTGTGGTCTCCTCTGAACTCCGGCTAATTTGTGATGTTGCTTTCAAAGTCCAGCAGTGCAGCGAGTGCTCTGCTTCTGGTCACTCACACACATTTCACAACATATCTCACATTTTAAAGTAAGAAGAGACCTTCTTACCCCCCTCCCACCACCACACATACACACTTAAACCATTCAGTGTCTAAAAGCTGGGGGTGGTGCACGCCTTTAATCCTAGCACTGGGGCAGAGGTAGGTGGATCTCTGTGAGTTTGAGGCCAGCCTGGGCTACAGAGCAAGTTTCAGGACAGCCAGGGGTGTTACACAGAGAAACCGTCTTGAAAAACAACAACAAAAAGGGTTTCTAGAGTGTGGATCAACTCTACATTCAGCTCCCTTTTGTGTGTTTGTTTTGTGAAGTTGACATAAAGCTACCCCTTGTTTGTTTAAGGCAATTTTTAGAAACAGGTACTTGAATCCTAAGGTCAGGATGTCTTTAAGGATGGACAAAGGAAGACAAAGGACTTATGAATAAAATACAGTAGGTTCTGTCAGGCTAGCATGGTAGACGTAAGGCTATGGTTCATAATGGGGTAAGAAATGTTAGTAGAGAATAGAAAATACTTGCTCAATAATTCGATTCTAGGGGCTGGGGGTACAGCTCAGTGATAGAGTACATATTGATCATGTACCAGTCCTGAGTTCAATTCCCAGAACTGCCAAGGAAACCAACCAAACATATACTTGATTTTGTTAGCAAATCCTGCTCAGAAATTACTCAAGTGTTCTTTGCAAAAACATCACCTGCATATCCAGGCCGCATGACACCAGGCTCTGAGGCCTCTGAGGTCGGAAAGCTACAGCAGAACAGATGTTAGAATGTCTCTTCAGGGATCTGGTAACTTTCTTCTTTTCCAAGTCCAGGATTTTGATTGCCCCAGAGTCATCAGCAGAAGCCAACAGACTTTCGGGTTCATTTAGTGAAAGACAATTGATTTCTTCATCATTCACGTGAAAATGGTCCACGAACCCTTTTAGAGACCTGACATCTAGTAAACTGATGGTTTCCCCGTGGGAGGCATAGAGCGTGGTGGGGCAGGAGTGAGAAAACAAGACGCTGGTGACATCATTGGCCCCTTCCAGCTGCACGTGTCCTAGTGGAGTCCCGTCTTCACCCCAAGCCACAAGATCTCCACCCTCTGCTCCTGAAGCCACCAGCCCATCTTTACTTGCATTCAGGCAGAGGATAGAAGAAGAATGTCCACCAGTCCACTTGACTGCCATGATGGCCTGCGAAACTCTGTGAAGAGGGAGAAAACCTGTATCAGATGTTATACAACAGCTTGATGCTCTGAGACAAATAAACGACATTTCAACAGTTTTTAAAGATAGCCTAAAAACACAATTATCCCCTTGCCCTCTGAAGTGGGACACTGATGCAATGGGCCAGGTAAAATTTATCAGGGAAATGAAATCAGTAAGATACACTCACGACACAGAACAAAGCAGATGCCGCTGCTGACCCAGCTGTCGTTGTCCTGCTCTCCTGTTCAAGGGTGATGGGAACCAACTGCAAGCCACACTTCTCCGCTGCTTGCTCCTGCTCCGACCACCCAAGAGAGAGCGTGAGACCCCTTTCCTCCATTCTTATTTGGTCACATACTCCAAGAAGACCATGCCCCATAGGGCTAGTAACCCCAACACCATTGGCTGAACAGACTGAATTCCCAAAACAGCCCTCTTCTCTCAAAAGATATTTAAAAATCAAATCTACAGAACTCTAGGTAAACATAAGCTGTGTCTAGTATTTCTGCTTCTCTGGTACACATCTATTCACAGGAGAATATATATATTATAAATAAATACTAGCAGGTGCAAGCTTTTGCAAGTTTCCTCATCTTATCTTTTTTTGGTTTTTTTTGGGGGGGTGGGGGAAGATATTGGCTCAATTTTAAAGGTACTTTTGGCTAATTTCTACCCCAAAGCATGAGAAGTTAGTCAATGAATAGATTTTATAGTTAAATAGACTATTATAGACAATACAGTTCTGATCATTTTTTCCATAATGGATCTAGTAGTAAATCTTTTCATTAATCCCACAAGATCCAAGAACTGAGGGGGTGGAGTGGGGTGGCGCACAACAATACTAAATTTCCAGACTAAATCACATGGCTATTCACTGATCACTTACATAATCAGAAAAATAATAAAGAGCTATTAATGGGACTGTTAAAAAAAGGTTAGGAAAGCCTCAAAAATGTGTCTATTCGTTGGGGGCCACAGAGGTGGCTCAGTGGTTAGAACTGGGTTTGCCGCTTTTGCAGACGACTGGCTTCGTTTACCAGCACCCCAGCTCCCAATCAGAGTAACTCCAATTCCAGGGATCCAGTGCTTTCTTTGGATCTCTGAGGGCACCAGAAATGCACATGGTACACACAAATACTTGCATACTTATGCTTATTTACTCATTCATATCAAATAAATAAAGCTAAAAAATTTTGTTAGAATAAATAAATATTCAGTGAGGCTTTTTACTGTAGCCAGTCAACAATTATCATGTATAATATTCATTTGTGATCCAACTAGGGCCTTCAAAATCATTTATTTACTTGGTCTACAAAACATACCCAAAGACCATTATTAAAAGTGTTAAACCAGCCAGGAATGGTGGCACATACCTGTAGTCCTAGCACTTTGAGGCTGAGGCAGGAAGATTTTGAGTTCTGGGCCACTCTGGGTTACATATGAGACCCTGGAGGGAAAAAAAAGGTCAACCACTCAGAATGCTAGGGCATATGGAGGAAATGTACTTAAGAACTACGTCAAAACAATCGAGAAGTGAGTTGTCTGCAAGCCACTGTTCTTGAGTTTGTACACTTGGACTGGACCACCTAGTAGAACTAGGTTAATGTCGATATTCTCTCACTCGTTTATACGTTTGTCTTCTCCTGTGTAGTTGCTTAAAGGATTAAGCACAGAATTTCCTCATATCCAATTATGGATTACTTTAATTAGATAATAGATCATTTCCTCTAACTCCTAATGAGATCATGGAGTGCAGAAGAACAAAGGAGGGTATGTTAAGAGCATTTTATTAAAGGGTGGAATGCCACAAGGAGCAGTTCTAAGCAGGTGGACTACATAATGACAGGGGGAAGGGGACAAGGTGTGGTTCATGAAAAGTAGGTGGAAGACTTGTAACTAGAAAACAAGAGAGTGATAAAGACAACCTTTTCTACTTTGATATTACCCTAATGTTAGCTGAGTGATAATATGCCACTAAAAGTTATCTGAATAATGGGTGAAGGGACAACAGCCGGGCAGTGGTAGTGCTCACCTTTAATCCTAGCACTTGAGAGGCAGAGGCAGGTGGATCTCTGAGTTAGAGGCTAGCAACGGTCTACAGAGTGAGTTCCAGCACAGCCAAGACTACACAGAGAAACTCATTCTGGGGTTAGGGGGAGGGAAGGAGAACAGAATGATATCATTAGATCCTTCAATGATTTGTCTTAAGGGAGACAAGATAAAGGCTTTCAAAGTATGTGATAAATGAATGATCTCTATTATCAGTGTTTTTCTTCAGTCATACCTTTATTTATGAATTTCTGCTATTCGAGTGCACAAGCCTCGGAGAGAGGGAGAAGCAGAAATTGACTGACTCTGTCTTATCCAGTTTGGTCCCAAATTCCTGGCTCGTGTGACCTCTCACCTGAGGTTCCCAAGTAGCTAGAACTATAGTCTCTTTGTACCAGGGTGCCCTGTCCATGTCTCTCAATCTAATCATTCTGTATAGTTCTTTACCTCCTTTTCAGATCTACCAGATTTAAAGGAAATGTAATTGTCATTCAGACACAATTTGGTTCAACATTCAGTTACCACGGAGAGAGATGGCCATTACTATAATGTGTGGGTCAACACTTTCTCATAGATTTGGGTTTTCTAAAGTTAGTCCTGATGTGGAGAAACTGGTAACAACCAAAACAACTAAAAGACTGTGGCATTAGCATTGACAAAATAGACCAAGAATTTGGGTTACTTAATTTAGTGAAAGGCATTCTGAGGAAGGGATTGTTAAGTAATAAGCATGTAATTATAGCAGAGTAAGGAAGTAGTTACTGCCCATTGTTTTTTACTAAAAAACAGGAAGTGAATACACATAGGTGGATCTCAGGCAGATTTCTTACTACATAAGATTGCATGACACTGGGATTGACTACTGAGTCTGTGAGCCCTATTATTATAATAATCACTTAGTAGAGCTGTCTTGAGAAGTATATAAATACCAGATTAAAATACCTCACATAATGCATGCTCACATTGCAGTTCTTTTATTTTACTTTATGTGTATGGCATGTACACCCCAGGAATGCGTGAAACCAAAAGAGGGCTTGGCTCACCTCAAACTGAAGGTACGGATGGCCTTGAGCCTCCACATGGGTGCTGGGAATGAACCCAGGTCTCTGCAAGGGCAGCAAGTGCTCTTAACCACTCAGCCATCACTCCAGCCCTCTAGTATTCTTTTTCTAAATGCTCTTTAAATTTTGGAAACGTAGTATGACTAAATAATGCAGGATTTCTTTTCCTCCCTGGAAACTATCATTATGCCTTTATTTTATTGGGATTGTTTAAGAAATTAAACACACACACACCACACCACATTTCCTTAATCTTTTTACTAAGAGAAGGATCTGAGCGCACTACATTTTGTCCAAAAAGATTGTGACACTTAGTATTCAAATGACACTTTGAGATTATTTTGTTTTTGGCTGCGTATTTACCAGAGTTGTTCAAATTTTGCCACCTTACTTTGAGAAGTAAGTGGAGTACTGGTACAGATGTTCTGATCAGTCCCTACGGTCCTGTCCAGGAAAAGACTATGTCAATTGCCCAGAGTAAAAAAATAAAATGGAGTCGGGCGATGGTGTCGCACGCCTTTAGTCCTAGCACTCGGGAGGCACAGGCAGGCGGATCTCTGTGAGTTCGAGGCTACAGAGCTAGTTCAGGACAGCCAAGGCTACACTGAGAAATCTTGTGTCGAAAAAAACAGAAATAAATACATTAATTAATTAATAAACAAAGAAAGTGTATCTAACCTGACCAAGACAAGAGGTCCTCAACTGCCCAAAGGTAAAGAAAATGGGTCCAATCGAAGTAAAGGTGCAGGAACTAATTATCTAGCAAAAAAGGGGAAGTGTCATACACAAGCTGTAGATTGAGCAGGAAGCAAATGAAACAGGAAACTCCGTAGGAAGAGAGGCCAAGGAGAGCCGACTGAAGGCCATTAGTTGAAAAGGAGAAAAAAAAACACTAGCGAGTAGACCGTACCCACTAGCAACAGCCTCATACCTGGGCTTCCCGTTCCCGGTCGGCGCCTCGTGATGACCTCACACGCAGCCTCCAATCCCATCAAGCTTAGGGAGCGAGGCGCCTCCGCGGCGGCGCAGTCACTTCCGGACTGAGAGGCGCGGCGGGCGAGCTGGGCGTGCGCCCTTGCTTCTTGCCCTCAACCCGCATGGCGGATCCCGGGGTGCGTCGCGAGGAGGCCGGGCGAGGCGGGTGGTTCCGGCGCCCGCGCTGAGCGGCTCCGAGGGGCGGGGACCCGAGTGGCCCGCGCGTCTGCCCTCAGTGAGGCGGGGCACGCGGCGGACGCCCCCGGGCAGGGGCGGGAGCGGTGGAGGCGCTGGTGGCTGGAGCTGCTGAAAGGGGTGGTGAGCGAGCAGCTCGGATCTCTAGGCGAGGCTTGGCCTCCGGTGCCGAGACGGGGCGAAGCGGCGGCGGCGGCGGCGGCCCCCGGGCCGGCTGGTGAGGCGATGGCGGCGCCGGGCCCGGGGGCTGGGGCAGCCTCGGGCGGCGCTGGCTGCGGTGGCGCGGGCGCCGGCTCGGGGTCCTCCGGGGCGGGCGGCCGACTGCCCAGCCGGGTGCTGGAGTTGGTGTTCTCTTACCTGGAGCTGTCCGAGCTGCGGAGCTGCGCCCTGGTGTGCAAGCATTGGTACCGCTGCCTTCACGGCGACGAGAACAGCGAGGTGTGGCGGAGCCTGTGCGCCCGCAGCCTGGCAGAAGAGGCTCTGCGCACGGACATCCTCTGCAACCTGCCCAGCTACAAGGCCAAGGTGAGGGGGATCCCGGGCCACGTCGAAGCCCCGCTCCTATCCTGCCCGCCGCTCTCGGGCTTTACCTTCTAAGCTTGAGTCATGTTTCACCTCATCATCCCGCCTTTCCACGGCTTCAGCCAGTCAGTACCTTTCTCACACCTCCTCTCCGCAAAGATCTTTCCTTTGGATTGAAGTTCTGCTTCGTAACCCACCTCACTTTTGAAATTATTAGGTGGTTTCCCATCACTGATTTTCATCACTCGTTCTACTTTGGACAGTCTTTGCTCTTACAGACAGACCACCAGCCAGTACCCTTGGTTTTATGTTTTCCCTGGCCTCCAAGTAGGCTTATGACATCAGTTCATCTTGCTTTGGTTTAAAATGGGTTTAGTTCTGGGATCTTTGCGTTCACCTCATCTTTTCCAAGCTCTGATTAATAAGCACATTTTCATTATTTTCGCCCACGTTCTCATACGGCTACAATATTTAATGCTTCCATGTGAGTTTGGGGTTTCGCATCCTGCTAACTAATTTGCAAGAAAGAGACTCTAATAGAACATCTTCCCATTGGTGCCATATAACTCATAAAGCTGCCTTGTGCTACTATTATTGATTACTTCCTTGATATCTTTTTAATAGTTCTACCCAGTTGATGTCTCTTCTGTCGTATTTATTATCTAATATGTTGGTTCCTGTTTTGCTGGGGTTTGTTTTGGTGTTTTTTTTTTCTTGATTCTTGTGTTTTCATAACAAAATTAGAATGCTAAGTAACAGGTTGTGGCAGGACCAAGGATTCTCCAGCTCAGACAAAGGGCCTTGGGTTAAGGTTCATTAGACAGATAATAATAGCTCTTTAGAATAGCAGTCATCAAGAGCATATATGAATTCGGGTGTAGTGCTGCAAACCTTTAATCCCAGCACTCCAGAGGCAAAGGCAGGTACATTTCTGTGAGTTTGAGGCTAGCCTGGGCTACAGATCAAGTTCCAGGACAGCCAGAGCTACACAAAATAAGAAACTCTGTCTCAAAACAAAACAAGGAACATATATGAGAGATGATAAAATCTAATCTGGAATATGGTAAACATATCCTTTTTTAATGCTATATTGCTAGTAAGCATCGAAGTAATTTTTCATGTGAAATAGATACACTATTTCTTTTAATATACATGTATTATAAAATGCATGTACACATATATTATGCCTCCCTTTTTGGAGACAGGATCTCACTGTGTAGTTCAGGTTGGTCTCCAACTTGGTACCTTTCTGTCTCTTTGAGAGTGCTGTGATTATAGTATGGGCCACTGCTATTGGTTTATTCTTCTATATTAAAACAAGTTTTGATGTGATAAGAGAAGGAACACTGCTGTTGAATATGTCAATTATCAAATAGATAGTCTTTCTTTTTTTCCTGAGACAGGGTCTCACTAGCAGCCCAGGCTGGCCTGGAACTTAACAGAAACCCACCTGACTCTGCCCTCCAATTCCTGAGACAAAAATGTGACCACTCTTGGCAAAATATTTTTTGCATTTGTGTGGGAGTGTGTGGGTGTGCGTGTGCTCGTGCATGCACACTTATGCATTCATGAATATGTGAATACTGGTACCCACAGAGTCCAGAAGAGAGTGTTATCCCCTGGAACTGGAGTTACAGGCAGATGTGAGCTCCCCCCAAAACACACACACACTAGGAACTGAACTTTGGTGCTCTGGAAGATCAGGGAGTTTTGGTTTGGTTTGGTTTTTCAAGACAGGGTTTCTCTGTGTAGCCCTGGCTGTCCTGGAACTTGCTTTGTATACCAAGCTGGTCTTGAACTCAGAGATCAGCCTGCCTCTGCCTCCCGAGTGCTGGGATTAAAGGTGTGTGCCACCACTGCCAGCGAATTAATACTTTTTTGTATTTACTTGTGATAGTTACATTTACATGAGTCAAGATTTAGATAAAAGGACTGGGAAAACGACTTAGTAGGTAAATTGCTTGCTGGGTAAACATGAGTACCTACCTGAGTTCAGATTCCCAAGCTGGCTATAAAAGCCATGCTGGTATGCGTCTGCAACCCAGCACTGGAGGCCAGAGACAAGTGAATCTTGGGCTGCCCCTGGCCGGCTAGATTAGACAAAAATTGCAAGCTTCAGGGTTAGTGAGAGACTCTGTCTCAAAAAATAAGGTGGTGAGCAAAAGAGGAAGCCATCCAGTGTTCACATCTGGCTAATGCACATGGGTAAGTACACTGCACACACACTCATACACCACACACATACACAAAAGGTTCACATAGCATACAGTAGACAATGTATCCAGTAAAAATAACGTGTCTTCCTTTGGCTGCTGTCCCGCTGTTACCCATTTCTCATCCTTGGAAGCAACCTAAATTGATATTAGTTTTGTATCTTCCCAGAGAGATTTTAGTTTTCTTAAGTTTCTAGTACTTTAACTTTCTGCTGTGTGTACTTCAGCTACACGGTGGACTTGTACTTATCCTGGTTTTAGGTGAATCTTTTGAAGATGGCAGGTTAATTTAGGAGGGAAGACTCAGTCAGAGTCTAGAAGTCCTTGGAGTAGTCAAGGAGGGAAAGATATAGAAATAACACACCGGCACACATTTCTCCTTAGTGTAGTGTAGGAATACTAGAAGTTCACTGAAAGGGAAAACTTAGGAGTTGAGTGGAGAATCAGAAAAGGTTTGACTTTAAGATGATACTAAGCTGAACTTTAGGATGAGGTGGATTTGAAAAGTTTATGAAGAACATAAAGGAAAAGCAAAAATGCAGTCTTACCAACACTTCGCCTTATGGGGATTATAGTCTATGGAAGGCATGTGCATATGCATGTTGCGTGCCTGCCTGTGTTTCTCTTTTTCAGTACTGGGGATTGAATACATGCTAGCTACATCTCCAGCCTTGGGGAAATAGGTGTTAATCTGATAATTGCAGTTGTAAAACTTCATCTGGTAAGTATTGTGAATGAGAGTTACATGGTGTTCTGAGTGTCAGTAATGGAGGATTTAATTAGGTATGGAAGGTCAGGAGGGCTTTCTTATAAGACATGATGCATGAACTCAGTGAGACCTAAAGGGTGAGGCTAAAAGGCCGAGAGAAGAAGCAAGGAGAGCCTACAGGGAATCTGGCTGGTATGAGAAGCAAAAAGAATGTCCGCGCTTGCTCCTAGGGCAGGTGATGCTGCTTTGACTAAGATGAAAAGGGGTGGGACAAACTATAATGAAGCCGTTTCTAATTGTAAGCAAGAAAAATGGACGTGGGGGGTGATTTGAGTAGTTTGTATTTTAAAGAGGTTACTTTTGACTTCAGGATGGAGAACAGGTTGGAAGAGGACTTTAGAAATCCTTTAGTTCTATTAGAAAGGAGATGGAGAGAATGGACAGACAGGAAATAGAATCCACAGAATTTGATGACTGTTCCCCCTATTGCCTTAGGTATGGCACTAGGATTTTAGGTCATCATACATTAAAAATGATTTTTTTTTCACTCAGAGAATATTAAGATATTGGGATTATCTGTGTATTCTCTGAAATTTGCGGGATCAAACAATTTCTTAAAAAGAATCTACAGAATTTGGCAGTAGTTTTGAAATGGAAATGAGGGGGGAGGAGGAGGAGGAAAGAGTGACTCCTAGGTATCTGGCTTATGTCATATATCACTTGAGCTAGCGTGTAGAGGAGTGACAGCAAGTTCATTGTGTTTGAGATATTCAACAGATTTCGGATAGGCAGCTCTTGGTGGCCAAGGATCAGAGGAAAGTTCCAGGCTAAAGATAGGAAGTAATTTTTAGTTGAGTGAAGGGAAATACGATTGTAAAGGTAACCTGGAACTGGATATATCCTGGAAGGCCTTTTGAAACACAGGGTTTGAGATATTGTTTGGCCTTTATTCTGCAATTGGAAAAACCATACAAGACTGAACAGGGGAATGATGAAGTGAAAGCTGTGCTTTAATAGGACCAGGTATGAGATGCAGAGGGCACGTAGAGGAGAGAAGGACACACTGGGAAAGCTGTCACAGAGATCAGCTCCACACAGGTGACAGCTGACAGGGTGGATCCAATAGGGCCCCGAGGAGCCTGGGCAACGGAAGGACTGGGGTGAGGATAGCGTGGCACCAAAAGTCTGTAGTTGGTTCATCCTTTTCTTCCTCCTTCCCTTCCCTATGTTTCATCTCTCCGTCCATGCTGTGCCTCAAACCTGGGACCTGATGTGATGCATGGTCAGCACTCACCTACCACTGAGCTGCACCGCATTTCCAGAAACGTTCTTTTTTATAGCTCATGTTTTGCATGTCTCCAAGTAGCATTGGTTATCCCAAATACTTTGTCCAACTGTACTTCTCTAAATTTCAGACTTATATCCTAAGCTAGGCCTTTATTTTTGTTTTTATTTTAGAAACAGAATTAGAGACAGTTTGTTGAGAAATGGAGAGTACTCTGGAGAGTGAGGGCGGGCTGGTAAGCTGAGGGGAAACTGTGCTCAAAAGCCCAAAGCTAGGTCTGTACTAATGCTGTTGAAACAAAAAAATCTAGGTTGTTCAGAAACTGAGACAGAAACTTGACTTTGATTTTGCTCTATTTTTGTTTTTCAAGATAGGATTTGTTTCTCTGTGTAGCCCAGGTTATCCTGGAACTCACTCTGTACACCATGCTTGCCTCAAACTCAGAGATCAGCTTGCTTCTGCCTCCCTAGTGCTGGGTTTAAAGGCACATCTGGCATTAAACTTTATTAATTGGGTATTTTTTCCATTTCATTTGAATTTTTCAGTATTCTTTAAAAAAGACACATAATCATGATACTACTGTCATCTCTAAAAAGAAACTGACAGTAATTTAATACAACATTGCATTGTTACCTCAAATGTGAAATATTGTAGTTTAATTTATAGTTTATTTAATCAGTATCTGTATACGTTCTCATGACAAGGAGTTGCTAAGTCTTTTTAGGCTATCTCGGTCTGCAGATTGATTCCATCCGCACCTCTTGCCCTGTAATTGTTACTGTCCTAGGTTTCTGATTTCATTCTCATGGTGTTGCTTAATGTGCTCTTCTGTCTTTCTCATTTCTTGCATGCTCTACAATGTAGAGCACTGATCAGTATAGGTGACATTAGTTTTTGTTTATTGTTTCTGCAAAATACTATTTAGTAGAATCTTGTGCTCAGAGGTATGTTAGAAAGCAAGATCCTTATAATTAAGTGTTGTGTGGTACAGACGATAGTGAATGGGAATTCGGGAGAGGGGAATGATGGGATTGGGTGACCCTGGCTAAGAATACCTTCATGGAGGTGATGTTAGAGGACAGCAGGTAGGGCACTAGGAGCCGGGTGAGGCAGGTGGGATAGGAAGTGCATCAGCCTGCTCTGGAAGGCTTTGAAGCCAGAAAGAACTTATAGTTGATGTGCTGCTATGTGGGGAGCTCTCAGAAGTTATTAGCTGGCATGAGAGTCAGTGAAGATACTGTTTGAGAAAGAGCTCTGGAAAGAATTTAAGGTTAAGGACTGAGTTTGTAGGCTTCTATGGGGCAGAGGAAGGGAGTCATTAAAAATGAATGCAGTAGAATCAGGTCGGCAAAATGGGAAACTGTGATAGGCTGAGGAAGAGGCTGTCAGTATCACTGTGACAGAGGGAAAAATTAGAGAAAAAGCAACTAGAATTTGTAAGAATTGTGGAGTAGGCTGTGAGGAAATAGTAATTTAACATTATCATCAGGACTTAATTCTTTCTGTGTTGTTCTTTTGATTTAGAAAATTTGCTTGTGGATATTTTTATATACACAAGCAAATTTTTCTCCCTTGTTTACTCTTATGTTCTGATTCTTTAGGTGGATAAAAGCATGTATCGAAGGGTTGGAGAAAAAGCTCAGCTTAAGGGCACATACTGCATCCTTGTCAGATGGCTAACAACTTAACTCCTTGAATGCCAGTTTCATGGAATCGGATTCCCTCATCTGGCCTCCACAGGCACTGATCTCATGCATGTGCAATCACACACACCACATACACACACCACACCACAGCACACCACAACTAAAAATGATACAGAAACAGGTGGAAAAAATTCATGTGTCCATTTTCCCTATGGAACCAGGATACTTAAACAGTTACTCTGAGTGTGCAGGGCAGCAGGGAAACAGGAAAATGGCGGCTGTTGGCACAGGAGCTTGTGACCTGGGGTTGAGGCCCTGGCTCTTTTCTGGGTCTCCTACACGAACTGGCTGTTGTCCTTTAGGTCTGTCACCTCATTCTTTGTTTCAGATCTCTTTGTTTTCACAGAAAGACCAAGAAAAAAAGATGTATTTGTTTTTATTTTGTGTGTCTGGGTGTTTTGCCTGCATGTATGTCTATGCACCACATGCATTCAGTGCCCACAGAGACCAGAAGGGTGTTAGGTTCTCTGGAACTAGAGCATGTGGGTGCTAGGAGTTGGTCTGAGATCTTCTGCGAGAGCAGCAAGTGTTCTTGCCTGCTGAGCCATCTCGCCAGCCATGAAGAAGGGATTTTTAAAGTAAAATAGAAACAAAAACGTGTGTGTGTGCACATGTGTGTGTGTGTGTGTGTGTGTGTGTGCACACGTGTGTGTGTGTGTGTGTGTGTGTGTGTGTGTGTGTGTGTGTGTGTGTGTGTGTGTGTGTGCGTGCGTGTGCGTGTGTATTTATGTGTTGGTTTTTCCAGACAAGATTTCTCTCTGAAGCTTTGATTGTCCTGGAACTTGCTCTGTAGATGTGACTGGCCTAGAACTGAGATCTGCCTGCCTCTAACACCTAAGTGCAGGGATTAAAGGGGTGCACCACCACCACACCTAGCTCCAAGTTTGTTTGTTTTTTTTTTATGACAGGGTTTCTCTGTGTAACAGCCCTGGCTGTCCTGGAACTCTGTAAACCAGGCTGGTCTCCAACACAGAGATCCTCCTGCCTCTGCCTCCTGAGTGCTGGGATTAAAGGTGTGCACCACCATGCCCAGAAAGTTTTATATTTTTAAAACCTGAGAATTTGTCATTATTTGTACAAAGGAGCTATTTTAATACTCTTTTCATGTTAGGAGCGTTAAAAAACCTATCCCATTGGTGGCTGACCTTCCGGTTGAATTTGTGTGCCATCTAGGAGATATGAACGAGAGTGATGATGTGTCAGTGTGTAATACCTAGTAAGTAAACTGAGGATCTAAAGTTGTTTGTGGTCACTGAAACCTTCCATAAGCTTAAGAGCTGCTATAACTAAGATATTTTGTATAATATTTTATGTAATACATGTAATGCATACACACACTTCCCCCTTATATATATTGGGCCAACACTCTACCAATGAGCTTGGCCCTGATGTAGACTAGGTTGGCCTCATATTTAATATGTAGCTGTGGATAACCTTGAACTTTGGATCCTTCTGCCTCTTTCCTAGCAGTGATCACAGCAAGAGTCAAATTAGGCTGTAATTCTTTTTGATCACAGCACTGATAACGTGGAAACTGCATCACTTAATCAAGTGTAAATAAAAGTAAAGAACGTAGTTTCCTGAATTTCCATATGCCATCTACACCAAGCTTTACCAGTGACTCATGACGTCTAGTTTCATGTTTACTCTGCCTCTGGCTGTTTCAAAGCAATTGCCATGTATCATTATTTTATGCATAAACATTTCAGTAATATCTCTAAAAAAAGTACAAGGATAGTTGTGTGTATGTTTTGATGTTTCAAATTTACTTGTAGAAATTATACTACAGTTTGGAATTTAAGACAGTTGGATTGCTCCCTCCCTTTCTTTAGATAGGGTTTCTCTGTTTCCTGTATTCATCTTAAACTGGTTCAAGGGATCTAGAGTAGCTAGGACTGTAGGCGTGTGTTACCATGCCTAGCTCTAGCTGGGAGTTGTTTTTAATGAGATATAATATTTAATGTTAGTTTCCCATCCAGAAGCTTTACTCATTATTTGGAAATAGTGTGTTATTTAAAAGTTTATAATCTTATTATCTGTAAACCCAAAGCCTCAAGTTTTTCGGTTTTTTGGTTTGGGGGCAGGGGAGAGAGATGGGGTTTTGCTAAGTAGTCCAGGCTGGCCTTGAACTTTCAGTCCTGCTTTAGCATCCCAGAGGGCCGGGACCACAGGTGTGAGCCGCCACATTTAGCTTGCTACATTTTAATTTTGCTCTTGAAGAAAGAAGTCAAGTTTATTCTTTGGGTCTGTTTCTCACGGTTTTAGGTACGTGCTTTCCAGCATGCCTTCAGCACAAACGACTGCTCCAGGAACGTCTATATCAAGAAGAACGGCTTTACGTTGCACCGGAACCCCATCGCTCAGAGCACCGATGGTGCAAGGACCAAGATTGGCTTCAGTGAGGGCCGCCACGCCTGGGAGGTGTGGTGGGAGGGCCCGTTGGGCACTGTGGCCGTCATAGGAATTGCTACGAAGCGGGCCCCTATGCAGTGCCAAGGCTACGTGGCATTGCTGGGGAGTGACGACCAGAGCTGGGGCTGGAATCTGGTGGACAATAATCTACTACATAACGGGGAAGTCAACGGCAGTTTTCCACAGTGCAACAATGCACCAAAGTATCAGGTGAGGAATGGTACTTCCCCGTGTGGGCCACTTCAGATCACACCGTAGTTCAAAACAGACCTTTTTATATAGCCCACTATATCTTTGTTTCAGTAATTTTTAAAATAAATGGTAGAAGGTTATATGTCAGTATTTCTTAATACATATTTGAGCAATCCATCTTTGCCCTGGGTCAGAGGTTGCCAAGCTTTTTCTGTACAGGGCCAAAGAGTAAATATTTTGGGCTTTGTTGTCCATGTTGTCTCAGGAACACTTTCAGCTCTGTTGGTATAGCATTACATCATGTACATAATGTGAATGAAGAGGCATGGCTGTGCTTCAAAAGACCTCATTTATGAGCTACAGGACCAGTTTGACTCAGGAGCTACAGTGTGTTGGTTCATGTTCAAGATTGTCATCTCTCCTGTGTCGTGAAACATCCATGTTTTTTTTTTCTTTTTTTTCTCGTTACCTCATCACAACAAATGCATGTGCATATGAATGCATATTTACCCTCTGCTTCTAATATATGGATTGAAAGCCCTTGGAGGTATTAGTGTTTTCTGTAGAGACAGACAAGTTCAGGCAAACTGCTCCACTTCTTTATTTTTCATATCTTAAATTTGTTTTTAAACTTTATTTTATGGGTGTGTTGTTTTGTCTACATCTGTGTCTGTGTACCATGTGTGTACCTGGTGCCCCGGAAGCCAGAAAAGGATGTCAGATCCCCTAGAATTTAGTTACAGACATTGTAAACCACTATGTGGGTGCTGGGAATTGAACCTGGGACCTCTGGAAGAGTAGGCAGTGTTCTTAACTGTTGAGCCACCTCTCTACCCCATATCCTTCCATCTTAATGTCTTGCATTCATTTGATTCTAGAATTAAAATCGCAGTGCTTGTGTCTTAAAGCCATATTATTATAGATTCAACAGAGGATTAAACAACCATAAGATTCCAAAAATTGTACTGGAGAGTTGTCTTAGTGTTTAAGAGTATTTGCTGCTTTTCCAGAGTTCAGTTTCCATCACCTACCTTGGACAGCTCACAACTACTTGTAACTCCAGCTCCAAGGGCTTCAACTCCCTTATCTGACCTCTGTTGGAACCTGCAAATATTTGTGCACACACAATTTTTAAAAATACCTTTTAAATAGTCTCAAAGCAGAAGCCTTGATGGACTGTAGGTTTCATCTTTTGGAGCCACATGTAGTTTGAAATCTCTAGCTTCAATAATGCTTTCAGAAGCTGGCAAGGTGCTTCAGCGGTTAAGAGCACTAGCTGCTCTTCCAGAGGACCCAGGTCCAATTCCCAGCATCCTTGGCAGCTCACAACTGTCTAGAGCTCCAGTTCCCAGGGATCTGATGCCCTCTTCTGGCCTCCACAGGCACTGCCGTGCAATGATGCCCAGACGTACATACATTTAGGCAAAAGACCCATACTCATAAAAAGTATAATAAAATTATCAGCTCTGGCACACTAATGTAAAAGGTAAAATATATATCCATTTCTTGAAGTGCAAAAGCTGGAAGGATTTTCCTTCATAAAATCATTTCCTCATCTGTTTTGTTGTTGTTTTTTGTTTTTGTTTTTTTTGTTTTGTTTTGTTTTGTTTTTTGAGACAGGGATTTTCTGTATAGCTCTAGCTGTCCTGGATCTCACTCTGTAGACCGGGCAGGCCTTGAACTCAGAGATCCACCTGCCTCTGCCTCCCGTGTGCTGAGATTAAAGGTGTGTACCACCACTGCCTGGCTTATTTCCATTTTTTTAAAAATATATTTATACTAGTTTAGCCAGTTCTTAGATGGAATATTCTGGAAATCATAGGTCAAATGGATTGATAGGATTTAAGTCGTCTATATTGTTACTGGTTTTTCTGTTGAAGTCTCCAGCTGTGCTCTCTAGCTCGTCTATTTTTCTTTTGGGTCTGTCAGTTTTTGCTTCAGAGACTTAAGGGCTCTAATTATTAAATTTCTCTGTTTATATTACAAATGACCTTTGACTCTACCAACATTCCTATGTTTGAGTATGCATTGTCTGATGTTAGTATAGCCACTCTAGGTTTGTATGGAGCACTATTACAAAGCATCCATCCACCCTTTTGCTTTTGATTCATCTTGTTATTAAAGTGGGACCCCTAAATAGTATGTGGTTGAGTCTTCTTTATTTAAAAGCATTTTACAATCTGTCTTTTAAGAGTTTAGTCCATTTACACACATTGTAGTTGTTTGACCGCTTAATAGTATCTTTGTGTCCCTTAATTTATGATCCTTTTATTCTTCATCCACAACCTTTGTTTCTCTTTTTTTATTGTTTTTGAGACAGGATCTCACTATATATCCCTAGCTGACCTGGAACTCACAGATATCCACCAGCCTCTACCTCCGTGTTACTGGAATTAAAGGTGTACGTCACCATGCTTGGCACTCTGTCTTCTTTGATTGCATAATTTCTGTTGCTCTAGCTTCGTGTCCACTGCCAATTTATTCTACCATCTCAACTTGTTGAACCAGGCTAATGAGTTCTGGTTATTATGTGCTTTAGATCTAGATTTCATTTGGTTTCTTTTTCTGTATCCATTTCTCTATTGGGATTTCATGTTTTGTTCATTCTTTGGACAGATTTAGAATGGCTGTAATATCTTAGTGCATATATATTATTTAATTGCATTTCACAGTTACATATACATATATGTATACGCACATATAATAACTGTAAATACTTTGAATTCTTTGTCGAATTAGAAAATCTATGTCTAGGTAAGAGTCAGTTTTGTTTGTTTGTTTGATTTTCAAGACTGGGTTTCTCTGTGTAGCCCTGGCTGTCTTGCAACTCACTTTGTAGACCAGGCTGGCCTTGAACTCACAGAAAGCTTCCTACCTCTGCCTCTTGAGTGCTGCCACCACTGCCCAGCAAGTCAGTTTCTTTTGATTTCCCATCACTTCGAGAGTCATGCTTTTCCTATTTTATCCTAGTGATTTTTTTAATTGAAAATTGCACGTGTGGGTAAGATGGACTATCAACTCTAGAATGTCGTCTTTTTGTAGAAACTGCTTTATTCTTTGGTGTACGCAGGTTTTCTCATAATGGCAGACAGTTAATTTGCCAGAACTCAGGACTGCAAACTTCATGCCCCTGTGTTATGCAGCAGCAGTTTTTGGCTCTGGTCTTCTCGGCCTCTCTGCTTTCTCAGTCCACTTCGCTGGGAGCTTTTCATGCCCATGTTGTCTCTGTGGTCTCACATGGACCGCATGTGGAGCTCACACGGTGGAGCTTGTGTTCAGATCTGGATGCTCCCGTCTTTTGCTCCTTTCCATGGTGTCTGGTCGTTCTGCCATCCACATTTTTGTTTGTTTTTAGAGACAGTGTAGTGTTGTGTAGCCTGCTGTGCTGGAACTCACTCTGTAGACCAGGCTGGCTTTGAACTCAGAGATCCACCTGCCTCTGCCTCCCGAGTGCTGGGATTAAAAGTGTGCGCCAGTACCTCCTGGCCTGCCACCCACATTTTACCCACTGCTACCAACACTAGTGAGGCTTGTGCTTTCAACTCCTTTACCGTAAATGTACCTGTGGCATTTTTCAAATTGAAGCAAACTTGTGAATTTCAGCAGGATGAGTTGTCTTCTTTTTGTTGTTGTTAAATTTTATTTTACAGTATAATTTAATGTTACATATCAGCCACAGAGTCCCTTATTCTCCCCCCTCCCGCCCCCCTCCCCTCCCCCCAGCCCACCCCCCATTCCCATTTCCTCCAGGGCAAAGACTTCCCCAAGGATTAAGATCAACCTGGTAGACTCAGTCCAGGCAGGTCCAGTCCCCTCCTCCCAGGCTGAGCCAAGCATCCCTGCATAAGCCCCAGGTTTCAAACAGCCAACTCATGCACTGAGCACAGGACCCAGTCCCACTGCCTGGATGCCTCCCAAACAGATCAAGCCAGTCAACTGTCTCACCAATTTAGAGGACCTGATCCAGTTGGGGGCCCCTCAGCCATTGGTTCATAGTTCATGTGTTTCCATTTGTGAATTGTCTTCTTAATCTGCTGCAAAATAGGGTTAATTCCTGAGAATCTAGAGGACTGCAACATAGGGCATGTCAGTGGTCGACTTGGGCAAAGAGTGGATAATAGCAGATGTTGACAGTCATTTATGACAGGAAGTAAATGATGGAAAGTTAATAACAACAGCAGAGTTACCATAATCAGGGAGGATTGAATCTCAGTTATAAATCTCAGGACTTTATACACCTTTTACCCGCTTTGGAGACAGGAGCTCATGTAACTAGGCTGGCTGTGTAGCCAATGATGACTTCCACCTCCCAGATGCTGGCAGGTATGTAGTGCTGGGGATCGAACCAGGGGTTCATGTGTGCTAGGCAAGCATTCTGTCAGGGGAGCTCTGTGGCCAGTCCTACTCTCCACTTTTCAGCACACAAATGCAGCATTCCTTTATGGATGCAAACTATAACGATGACACAGTCTTACTGTTGTACTTTTCAAAATGAGTGAAGAGCCGAATGTATTGAGTTTGCACTTTAAATGGTCAGTGTTGCTGTTCCTTTAGTCCCAGCCTTCCAGAGGGAGACGCCGGTGGATCTCTTGAGTTCCAGGACAGCCAGGGCTGTTACATGGAGAAACCCTGTCTGGGGAGGGGGTTAGATTTTTACAATCTTATTTTATTCGAGTGTTTTGCCTGCACATATGAAAGTTTATCCTGTGTGACCGGTGTTGCAGAGTTCGGAAGAGCATGTTAGATCTCTGAAACTGGCATAAGAGAGGGAAGTGAGCTCCCGTAGTGGGTGCTGGGAACCAAATCCGGGATTTTTGCAAGAGCAGCCTGTGCTCTGAACTGCTGAGCCATTTCTGTAGCCCCCAGAAGTCTTTCTTGGTTCTGAACATAAGCTGTTGTCACTAAACAGTAGTCTCCACCTCCCTGCTCCCCAGCCCCATTAACCTCTGATCTGCCTGTCTCTGTGATCATTCTAGATACTTAATGGAGTCACAAACTTAGCTTTCTCTGGCTGCCTTGTTCTACTTAATGTTGTGTTTTCATGTTTCATTCAAACTAGCATTTGGGAGGCAGAGGTGGGCAGATCTCTGAGTTTGAGGCCAGCCTGGTCTACAGAGCAAATTCCAAGATGGCCAGGGCTATTACAAAGAGAAACCCTGTCCTGAAAAACCAAAACAATCAAACAAAAATATCATTTATTTTTCTGGCTGTTTAATATTTTATTTAGTGTATATTGCAGCAATATGAGGAGGTTATTTAGATAGATCCTTTTGGTAAAATGTGCCAAGTTACAGATAGTGGTGTTAACTTCCTTAAGAAAAGGCTTTGCCGGGCGGTGGTGGCACACGCCTTTAATCCCAGCACTCGGGAGGCAGAGCCAGGCGGATCTTTGTGAGTTCGAAGCCAGCCTGGTCTCCAAAGCGAGTTCCAGGGAAGGCGCAAAGCTCCACAGAGAAACCCTGTCTCAAAAAACCAAAAAAAAAAAAAAAAAGAAAAGGCTTTGAGCAAAGAGTAATTTAAAGTAACTAGTGTAGATCCCATGTGAATCTTTTAAAAAAATGATCTAAATAAGCACTTGTGTTGAAAATGATGTGTGTTCCTCCTTCTGGGTGCTTACCTGCCACCAGAAAGTCCCCTCTCGTTTGCAGAGATAAGTTAGAAGATACAGAGCCTTTGTGCTTTTTCCACTTTCTAATTTGTATCCTCTTTCTTCTAGCCGCGCTTTTGTGGATACCCTGCTAACCTTGTGATATCTGTTTACAGATAGGAGAGAGAATCCGGGTCATCTTGGACATGGAAGATAAGACTTTAGCTTTTGAGCGTGGGTATGAGTTCCTGGGAGTTGCCTTTCGAGGACTTCCGAAGGCCTGCTTATACCCAGCAGTGTCTGCTGTATATGGCAACACAGAAGTGACTTTGGTTTACCTTGGGAAACCTTTGGATGGATGACAGTGGCTTTCTGGGAAGAAGGACAGTGGAGAAGAGATCTACTTGTGGGAAGTAGAACCATGAAGTGATAGTGTCATGTGTGCATGCCCAAGAAACATCCTGAAAACACATGAAGTCGAGAACCAGAGAAGCAGCTGTACAACAGAGATGATCTTAGTGTTTCCTCTTTCCACTGGGCCAGAAAAATCCTCAGGGTTGCAGTTGGTTGAGTGGGCAGTTGACATATGCATGTTGCCACAGACTCTTCTCTAAGTTAGCAGTGAGTTACTTCCAGCTTAAAGGTGAGGTTCAGAGATGCTGTAAAAGGGAACCGCAGGATTGTATGTAGTTTTACAAAGAAGGTTCAATCCCATCTTACAACTGCCTGTTCTTCCTCCAGTCCCTTTACTTCTAGCCAGCTTGACTTAGAAAGTATGAAACTGGCTGGGTTTTATTTAATATTTTTAATATATTGAGAAGCATGGTCTGCCTGGACTGCACTTCTCTAGCAATGAGAAATAAAATTGTGCAGCTATTTTAAAAGTTGTATATATAATGTGTGTAAAAACTGTTAAAAAAAAGGACAAAGGGATTGCTTTGTTCTAATTCAGTTTCTTAAATATCACTACATGGTACAAAATTAGAGTGACATTTGGGGACAGTGGGGTAATACAAACAAGGAGAGGAGACATGTTGTACCAGCTCATTTGTGTTTTGGGCTTATAGTCCATGGCTGTAACAGAATTATGGTTAAGGTTCCTCAGTTGGCTAAAGACTGGGGAAATAGATCTACTTATAATTATGCATATGCCAGCAAGGGCTGTTGCAGACGTAATAGGAATGTGCGTCTCTTGGCATCTGGCTTTAGTTTTTGGTCTTCTGAGAAAACTGGTCTCCACACAGAACAGTCCCAGCTGCTCTTACAGTACTCAGTATGAGCACTGTTAATATAAACCCCAGGAGAACACATGGTCAACGGTTCTTTTATTTCCTAACTTTATAATGCTGTAGATGTTATGAAGAATTTTTAATTTCATATTGTTTACATTATACAACAATTGGAGCCTCAAAGTCTCCACTGGGGCTGTCAACAAAATGTTTACTCACCCGTCTGAAACAGTGCCATCCCGAACTCTGGTTAAGAGTGTTCTTAATCACCTAGGTATTGCCCCATGGGACTGAACGCTGAAAACCTAGGTTGGCAACAATTAGAAAGTTTCATTGGGAAGAGTTGAACATTATTTCCTATTTTGACCCATAAACCTTCTCACTAATACTCTGGAATTAATAATTCAACACACATGAGCTGAGGGTTTTGTTTTTTTCTGTTACAACAGAAACATCTTTCTGTATGAAAGTATAATTAATATGACTCAGATACATAAGAATTGATGAAGGCAAGTAAAATCTTTGTACTTTTTACATGACTGCTGTATGTATATTTTGTTTTAAATCTAATAAAATTAGGGACAGCGAGCAGCTTGCTGGGGTTCTTGAAGTCCTTGAGAATTAAACTTGTCAATATTGCTAGGAAGCAGGAGGCTTCAGCCATAGACAGGCCTGTAGTCGCCTCTTGAAAGGGTTACAGGTATTTATTATGTATTTGCTGTGTTGCTTAAAAAAGAGAAATTTGTTAAAGATTCTTTTTTTATAATCTGTATCGAGAAGAAACTTTGTACAAAGTGGAATTATATGTTAAACATATTAGGGAAGATAGCTGGCCCAGGAAATGTTTTGGCTTTCGTTTTTTTGTTTTGTTTTGTTTTGTTTCCTGGTCTAGAACAACTCAGTTTGGTGGTAGTAAAGTTTGATTAAAGACCTGGTTAAGGATGGACACGGACTAGTTGAGAGGTGGTAGCAGACCTTAAGTACTTGCTGCATCTTCAGGTTGTGACAGTTGTTGAGCTGCTCATGAGTTTGGCTTATAACTTTGTTTTTGTCTTGTCATAAATGTTAATTTGTAACAACATTCTGAAGGTGCTCACTGGAAAACAAAATCCCATGGTTATTCGTTCCTTATTGAACCTAAAATCATATAATTGCCTAACTATTGAACACCAAGCTATTTCTGTGTTTTGTTTTTGATTTTTTTAAGACTGATTCTCCATATGTAGCTCCAGCCTCCTTGAACTCACAGTGATCTCCCTGCCTCAGCCTTCCCAATACTGGGAATACAGGTGTAGGCCGCCATTTTTAGGTCAAAGATCGAATGTTAACGGAGAGCCTTCATTTATAGCTGGGTCTGTTTGTTACTAGAGCCCTGTAGTGGCTGTCACCTAAATCAGTGCTGCTCCAGCTTGACTGGATTTTGGAGTAGCTTAAAAAAATATTTAAGCTTAGGCCCCATACCCCTGATTCTGGTGGTGTTGGGATATGTTCTGACCATAAGGATTTAAAAATGTCCTCCTGATTTCAGAATGCTGCCAAGGGTTGAGAGCAGTCGTGCTGAACTTCACCTAGACTTTTCTCATCTACAAAGTCGGAAATCCTTGCTCCCCTCACTACCTCACAAGGATACAGAGGGTCCAAGGGAGAACACTGAGTACTGGTGGTGTGGGTGAAAGGCTGCCAAAGGCGAGCCTCTGTTACGTTTCAACTGCAGCTGTGATCAGGAAAACATATGTAATTGAATTTGTTGCTGCCGTGGGAGCTCTTGTGTCGTTCTTTGAGGAAGCATGCATGGGTGGAACAGAAGTTAATTACTACTCCTCGGACTCACTATGGTCTCCTGTCCTACTTGAGATAGGCTGTTACAATTGTCTGGTTTTTCATAGGAAAGAAGAAATATTAAGACTTAATTCTGTAATGTTCATTGGCTCATAATTCATTAAAAATTCATACAAGGAATTCTGTGGTAGTAGATGTCATTTCATAGTCGCATTGTTTTTTCATTGTTGACTTTTGAATGTCAGGCCATTTATTTCATCTCATTTTTACTCAAATAAGCTTAGATACAGATTTGACAGTGCGTCTGAAGCAAGCTTGCTGGGTTCAGCTGAGCATCTGAATGGCTCAGGTATCTCCTGCCTCTTGGGTCTGATTTGATTGGGAAGTTTGATAAACGGCACAGAAATTACAGTTAACTTCATCACTTTTGTATCTTTTAGTCATTTTAAGGAATGAACAGTCGCTTTGACGACTTAAGTTAGCGCTGTCCATGCCCAACCCAGATGCAGCCCTTATAACATTTCCCTCTCTTCCCTCGGGGAGTCCCACCTTCCTTGCAGCCTCCCTGGTTTTGTTTTTAATGCATGCTTGACTCAAGCTTTGTGGCTTTGCAGCTTGCTCACGAGGCTTGCTTATTTACTCTGTCTAGCTCCCTACACTAATGCAGCGTCTCGGATGAGCTCGTTGTCTTGGTGTCCAGTCTCTAAGCCTAGTAAACGGGCTCATGTATTTCCTGTGAGAAAGAAGAATTTGGAAGAAAAACTAAAGCACTTCTAAATACGCAGACCAAAGTACAAGCAAAGACATATGAGAGAAATTCTGTGTCGTAATCCAGGTGGAGCAGGAAGGCACAGGATGCAAGTCTGAGCGAGTGAAGCAGTTTTTGCCGGGGCTTTTGGGCCACTCCCCCTTATTCAGAAACACTGATAAAATGACTTTCTAGTTCTTGGTGTAGATTTCATATTTGTTTAGAATAGAAAATAGAATATTGTGTTCTCATTTGGGGTACGGGGATGGCTGTTTTGCAATTTTTTCCCCCTGAGACAGGGTTTCTCTGTGTAGTTTTGGTGCCTGTCCTGGAACTCACTCTGTAGCCCAGGCTGGCCTTGAACTCACAGAGATCCGCCTGGCTGTGCCTCCCAAGTGCTGGGATTAAAGGAGTGCACCACCACCGCCTGGCTGGGATGGCTGCTTTGCCTTAGCTTCCTAATAAAAAATCTAAACTAGGGCTGTCAAGATGGCTCAGCAGGTAAAGGTACTGGCCACCAAACCCTGTGGCCTGTGTGTGATCTCTGGGGCCCACATAACTGGAAGGAAAGAGCCGACTCCCAAAAATTACCCTTCACATACAGGCTGTGGCACACAAGTGCATGCGTATTGCAGACAAAACGTAAATATTTTTTTAAAGAGCTAATGCCTAGGGAATATAGCTCAGTGGTAGAGTGCATGTCTAGTATGCAGAAGGCCCTGGGTTCAATCCCTAGTACCACAGATAACAAAATGCCAATGTCCAAAGTTTAATTCTAAGCGTATTATAATGGGAGTAGGCTAGACATCTTCATTTTAACATGGCTGACTCGCTTCCTTTCCCAATCTGTATTTAAGGAGATTGTTTTCTGTGCTCCTTTGTTGGCATGCATTCATTGTAAGAATGCCGGTTGCTAGGCTGTTTTCATCTGTATACCATGCGCTGTGGTCACACCCTTCCCATTACCTCTGTGCTCCCTCCAGCCCTTCTGCTTTGATGTCCTGTGTGTGCATTGAAGTCTGGACTCAGCACATGATGGAGATGCAGCATTTGTCTGAATCACTGTTTTTGTTTTTGAGATAGGGATTCACTAGGGAGTGGAGCAGGCTGGTCTTGAAATTGTATCCTTCTGCCTGTGTCTCCAGAGTAATGGGATTACAGATGTGTGCCACCGTAGTTGTGGCACATCTTCACTTTTGAAGGAAAGAAGCCTTTAAGATTGGAATGAAAGCCGGGCGGTGGTGGCGCACACCTTTAATCCCAGCACTTGGGAGGCAGAGCCAGGCGGATCTCTGTGAGTTCGAGGCCAGCCTGATCTACAGAGTGAGTTCCAAGACAGCCAGAGCTGCCAGAGCTGTTATACAAAGGAAACCCTGTCTCAAAAAGCAAACAAAAAATGAAAATTGTTAGTGACAGTTCTCTTCAGAAGCCAAAGGTGATAATCATTTCTAGCCAAGGATCCCCGAGTGGTGAAGGTGTGCACACATGATCACTCACTGAAAGGTGACAGGCTGGCTGCACAGGGTGTTCAGAAGCAGCTGAGTGCTGCCCGCCCACCCTTTCAAGCACAGACTCCAGCGAGCTTTGGCACTGTGCATTCACCACATGGAAGTGTTGGTGACTCCCTAGGCCACACTTTTCACATGTTTTACGTGGCTGTAGTTGAGCTGCAGCTTCTGGTGTCATGAAAGGTCTCCCCAACCACCCTGCTGTTAGCCACCTACTCGAATTTAGAAAGAATGAAAAAAATCAGAAAAGTCAACTCAGAATTGATTAAATATTTTGTCGCACCCACCACACGCCAGGCTCTCGCCAGCTACTGTGGATATAAATAGAAAGAGAAGAACAGAACTAGCAGCAACGCTGTTCCGCTCTTGCTCCCAATGGTAGGTGTGAAGATGGCCGCAATACCGAAAGAATCATTGCCTTAATGGACGGAAGCATGGGTCCCGTGTGACGGAGGAGAATCAGTGCTCCAATCCTGGAGTGGTGTAGTAGTCTCAGGAGATGAAAGTGTAGACCACTGTTCTAGGCAGATGGCAGTCTGCTGTGAGGGGAGGTAAGTAGTGTCTGGGAACTGCATGCTGGACAAGTAGTCAGACAGGTCAGGTCCAGGATGTTGAGGCCAGGTCACAGCTCTCAAACCAAGAGCTTTGGGCTTATCCCGTCTCGTGGGGAAGCCATTCAAAGGTTTGCACAGGGTCCCAACATGACCCATGACCTGTGAGTTCCATCTGCAAAAAGTAACCGGCGATCAGAACAGGAAATGACGGACCTAACCAAGGCAACTAAGGATATGAAGGAGAGATGTGTTGAGATTTCTGAGGGGATGGGGAGATGGCTCCGTTGTAGTGTTTGCTGTGGAAGCAGCCCTGAGCACCACAAGCTGGGCTCGGTGGCACGTACCTGTTACCCCAGTGCTGCCGGGCAGGGGAGGGGGGTAATTCCTTGGTTTACTGGCCAGCCAGTTTAGCTGAATCTTTGGTGTCCAGGTTCAGTGGGAGTCCCTGTCTCAGGAAAGAAGGTGGAAAACAACGCAAGACAACACCCAACGTTGACCTCTGGCCTACACTGCTGTCTTACTCTTTCTGTTGCTGTGGTAAGCACATGACCAAAAACAGCTTGGAGAGGAAAGGGTTTATTTCCACCAAAAGTATATAGTCCCAGCTGAGGAGAAGCCAGGACAGCAACAGGGCGGCAGGAAGTGAAGCAGAGGCCTTGGAGGAACTCTGCTGACTGCCTTGCTCCATTATAGGCTGCTTAGACTGCTTCTTTATATCATCCAGGACCAAGAGATGGTACCACCATATCAATCATTAGTCAATAAAATGCACCTATAGGCAAGTTAATGGAGGCATTTGTTCAACTGTGAATCTCTTTCCCCAGGTGACTAGCTTATGTCACATTGACAAAATCTAGCCAAGACAACATACATGCATGCGCACATGAACATCTACCTACACACCTTACCCTCCACCCCCCCACCAAAAAAATAGAATAGGAAGGTCAGTGGACACTATTTGTACATGAAGAACAAAACACTCTTGCTGTGATCGGCTGATAA